CCAATTCAGAGCATACAGGGCCTTTTGTAGAATTTGCCCCAGCCCTGAAATGTATTGTCACCAAGTTGGCATTGTAACTGTGACTTTAAAAGACCATTTCACTGTTTTATCAATCTAGCTGCTTCAGTATGATGGGGAGCATTGTAAGACCAGTGAATTCCATGAGCATAGGCTACTGCCAGCTTCTTTAGCCATAAGGTGGGTGCCTTGGTCAGAGACATTGCTGTGCGGAATACCATGATGGTAAATAAGATATTCACTCAGTGAGTGCACTGATAGTAGTCTTGGCAGAAGCACTGTGTGCAGGATAGGCAAACCCATATCTGGAGTAAGCGTTTATTCCAGTGAGGACAAACCTTTGCACTTTCCATAATGGAAGAGGTCCAATGTAATCAACTTGTCTCCAGGTAGCTGGCTGATCACCCCAAGGAATGGTGCCATATCAAAGGCTAAGTGTTGGTCTCTGCTGCTGGCAAATTGGGCACTCAGCAGTGGTCATAGCCAGGTCAGCCTTGGTGGGTGGAAGTCCATGTTGGTGAGCTCATGAGTAACCTCCATCCCGGCCACCATGGTCACTTTGTTCATAGGCCCGTTGAGTGATCACAGTGGTGGCTGGGGAAAGAGGCTGAATGGTGTTCACAGAACGGATCATCCTATCCACTTGATTATTAAAATCCTTCTCTGCTGAGGTCAGCTGTTGGTGAGCGCTCACATGGGATACAAATCTTCACATGCCCACTCAGAGAGGTCCTTCCTCATACCTCTTTTCCAAATTTCTTTGTCACCAGTTTTCCAATCATGCTTCTTCCAAGTCCCTGACCATCCAGCCAAATCATTGTCTACAGCCCGTGAATCAGTATATAATCGCACAATTGACCATTTCTCCTTCTATGCAAAGTGCACAACCAGGTGCACTGCTCAAAATTCTGCCTACTGGGATTTCCTTTCACTACTATCCTTCAGAGATGTTCTAGAAAGGGACTGTAGACTGTAGTGCTGCAGCTGTCTACCTTCAGATGGTGCCTGCATATCATGCAGAACCATCTGTGAACCAGGTCCTAGTCTCCTGTTCCTCTGTCATCTGATCACAGAGAACTGCCCATGAGGCCATGGGTGTAGGCTATGGGAGAAAAGGCAGGGTGGCAGGAGTGGAGACTAAGGGCATTTGAGCCACTTCCTCATGTAACTTACTTGTGTCTTCAGCACCTGCTTGAGCCTGATTACGTATGTACCACTTCCACTTGATGATGGAATGCTGCTGTGCATGACCCACTTTATGGCTAGATGGGTCAGAAAGCACCCAGTTCATGATAGGCAATTCAGGTCACATGGTATCTTGATGATCCATAGTCAAACATTCAGTTTCTACCAAAGCCCAGTAACAGGCCAAGAGCTGTCTCTCAAAATAGAGACAGCCTCAGAAGATGGCAGGGCCTTGCTTCAAAATCCTAGAGGCCTCCACTGTGATTCCCTTTTGGAGACCTGCCAAAGGCTCCAAGCAGCATCCCTGTCTGCCACTGACACTTCAGGCACCATTGAATCTGCTGGATCATATGGCCCAAGTGGCAGAGCAACTTGCACAGCGGCCTGGACCTATTGCAGAGCCTCCTGTTCTAGACCCCACTCAAAACTGGCAGCCTTTTGGATCACTCGATAAGTGGGCTGGAGTAACACACCCTAATCTGGAATGTGTTGCCTCTAAAATCTAAATAGGCCCACCAGATGTTGTGCCTCTTTCTTGGTTGTAGAAGGGGCCAAATACAGCAATGTATCCTTCACCTTAGAAGGAATATCTCAACAGGCCCCACACCACTGAACCCCCTAGAAATTTTACTGCAGTAGAATATAGGTCCCTGAATTTTAGTCGGATTTATTTCCCATCCTCTGGCATGCAAATATCCCAGCAAAATGTCTAGTGTGTTTGCTACTTCTTGCTCACTGGATCCAGTGAGCATAATGTCATCAATGTAATGGACCAGTGTGATATCTTGTGAAAGCAAAAAGCAATCAAGTTCTCCCTGGATAAGATTATGATACAAAGCTGGAGAGCTGATATATCCCTGAGGTTGGACATTAAAGGTATATTGCTGGCCTTGCCAGCTGAAGACAGATTGCTTCTGGTGGGCCTTATGGGCAGGAATGGAGAAAAAGGCATTTGCCAAGTCAATGGCTGCATACCAGATACCAGCAGATGTGTTAATTTGCTCAAGCAATGAAACCACATCTGGTACAGCAGCTACAGTTGGAGTCACCGCTTGGTTAAGCTTACGATAATCCACTGTCATTCTCCAAGATCCATCTGTCTTCTGCACAGGCCAAATGGAAGAGTTGAATGGGGATGTGGTGGGAATCACAACCCATGCATCCTTCAAGTCCTCGATAGTGGCACTGATCTCCGCAATCCCTCCAGGGATGCAATCTTGTTTTGATTTAGTATTTTTCTAGGTAGAGTCATCTCTAATGGCTTCCATTTGGCCTTTCCTACCTTAATAGCTCTCACCCTTCTAGTCAGAGAGCCAATGTGGGGGTTCTGCCAGTAGCTAAGTATATCTATGCCAGTTATGCATTCTGGCACTGGGGAAGTGACTGCAGATGAGTCTGGGGACCCACTGGACATGCTGTAAGTCAATATGAGCTAAAACTCCATGAATTACCTGACCTCCATAAGCCATTACTTTAATTGAAGGACGACAATAACATTTTGTGTCCCCCGGAATCAATGTCAGCTCAAAATCAGTGTCCAGTAGTCCACATAATGTCTGATCATGCACAGTTACCCTGGTAAAAGGCCTCCTTAGGGAAGGATGGGAGAAACATTCACAGCATAAATTGTTGGTACTATAGTGGGGTCCTTCCTCTTGCGTACCTTCACTCAAGGGGTTCTGGGTCTGTAAACTGGCTCAAGTCTGGAAATTGATTGATGGGCTGTGATTCTCTGTTTTTATAATTCAAATTAGTTTTTTGTCCATTTGACCTAGAAGTTTTCTGCTAATATAAATTAAGCAGGAATGCATTAGGTTTCCTATCAATTTCACTTCTAGGAACACTGTGATTAATTGGCCAGTGCCAGAGCTCTGCATGAGTCAGGCTGTTCTGATTGCTTCTTTGTCTCTGTTGTCCATTACAGTAGCTAGGCCCACCTTGCCTTTGGTGGTTGCGTGCCACCACTTGGCCCTTGCCACCTCGGCATCAAATTGTTCTTGCATTTAAATTTTATAGTTGAATGATCTCAGTTCCCACTGTTAGATCTCACATACAGAGTAGAGCAATTACAGGGCTCTTCAGAGATGCAGGTATGGCCCTCACAAATCTGTTTCACAAGGCATTTGGTCAAGGGTATATCTTCTGGAACCTCCCAGATGGGATGAGTAAGTCTAAAGTGACTAAACCGGCCGGGCGCGGTGGCTCAAGCCTGTAATCCCAGCACTATGGGAGGCCGAGGCTGGTGGATCACGAGGTCAAGAGATCGAGACCATCTTGGTCAACATGGTGAAACCCCGTCTCTAC